CCACAACGCCCCTTCGTTTGCACTATCGCAACTTTTCAGTAACATAGCTGTATACCACATTTTACTCATGGTTACTATAGATGTGGCCCCACAGGCTTTCCCGTTATGAGCGAGTCGACTTTTTAACGGCTGGTGACTCTCCTGAGTGAGAATAAATATTATCACCGTCCCACAACATCCACCCCTTTCTCCCCCCCCCCCCCCATCCCTTTCCCGAGTTGGGGAGATATCAGGCCACTCCAGGAAGCAGCCTGCAGACTGCGCTTTTCGGCTACTCATTCTCAACACATTCGAACCTGGAAGTAAACATATCGCATGAACGACGCCCAGTTCATTTGCAACCTAAATAATGTGGCTCTCCTGTTGCGGCCCAATCATTTTCATCATCAATCATTATTTGTTACGAGTTCATGGTGAAAGTGTGTTCGTCGTGATGCCACAAAAGTGTTCGATCCAAAGGGAGAAACAGATGATTTGCAATTTTCCCAAGCGCCGCGGCCCGCGCGCGAGGAATTGTGGGAGAGATTGTCCCTCGCCTGGCCGCTCTGCCTTGAGATCGCATTGCCTTTTCGCTTGCCTGTTAATCCTCTGTTTTTCGATTCCATTACCTATTTTTATCTATTCCAGTGTATTTTTTATTGCTTCTAAGTGTTTCTATTTTCTTCTGCGCGCGACATTTCTTGTATATTTGATGTGAAGGTGTACTTGGGTGTGGCATTATTCGTTCAGGAATCAAGCGAAACTTTGTATCAGATCATTATACGTCTACGTTCACTCCCATTCGATGATTATCATGTTTTCGACTATGTACACGGGGTGGTTTTCAGCGGTAGGTTTTTAATCTGATTGCCCGCCGGAGCGCGAGAAGCGAGTGAATGCGTTTAACCACTATTTTGTTCATAGAGAACCTGAACTGTGTTCAAATGAGTCTTGTAGTTACTCCCTGTCCGGAAACGAAAGCAGTATTTTTTTACATGCAACCGACAGTGTAGAGGTATGTTCAACCTTTCTTGGACTCAAGAACTCTTGCAGCCGTGATGCTGACGGTATTCAGATAAGACCTACGTAATTAATGAAATCTTCCATGTCTTGGTTCATATATACAACTTATGTATTTCCACAGGAACCTTTCCAGACAAAATGAAAGTTGCCAAAGTTACAGCACTATATAAAAAAGGTGATAGGTTAGACATAAAGAACTATCGCCCAATTTCTATCCTTCCAATTTTCTCGAAATGCTTAGAAAAAGTTATTTTAAATCAAATATCGTCATTTTGTGCAAAACATCAGCTAATAACTAAAGCTCAGTATGGATTCCAAAAAAATAAGTCTGCGGAGCTGGCTCTTCTTGAGCAAAAAGAATATATTTAACAAAACTTCGAGCAGAAGCTTCTGACTTTGGGCATTTTTGTTGATTTTACCCAGGCCTTTGATCATATCGATCACAATATTCTAGTTAAAAAGCTTGAGCGGTATGGCATAAGGGGTCTGCCACTTGAGTTCATAAAATCCTATCTCGGCAGAAGGCGACAATTCGTTTTTCTGAATGGCTTAACATCTAAAAGCAAAGAAATAATCTCTGGTGTGCCTCAGGGTTGCATTCTTGGCCCGTTGCTTTTTAACTTATACGTCAATGATATCGTACATATATGTCAACAGGCGAAGTTCATAATCTATGCGGACGATACTAACATATTTCTATCGTCCAGCTCCTACGCCGAGATAACCAATATGGCAAATGATGTTCTACGTAAATTAAGCTCTTGGTCAAAACAGAACCGTCTAAAAGTTAATTATAATAAAACTAAAGCCGTTTTCTTCTATACAAGAGAAACGCCTATCCCAATGCATCATAACATAGCGTTTAATCACACAAACATCGAAGTTTTGGTCACTATAAAAGTGCTTGGCACGTACTTCTCCAGTAACATGCAATGGGACGAGCATGTTAAAGGGACCATGAAATGATTTTAAAATCGAATTTCATCCACCGCACGTCGTAAAAGGTGTGAAAAGGAACACAAAAACACAAGACTAGGGAGCCAAAAAAAATTATTTGCTATAGAACTTTTAAAAGAAAACTAGACTCTTTTGCGACTTCTTTCCTTCGAAAGCTCTGCCTTTTCACTACGATGCATACGCAGAATCGGTGCACGTCAGCCGAATCCACATCGCCTATTGGGTAAGAGCCTACCTCACCAGCACCGCGATCGTAAACAATAAATAGCCGGCGAATGTTTCCTAAAAGTTTTGTTAAATAATATTCAGATCCACATTTTGTAGCATAATTAGAGATGTGTGGCGAAAATTGCCAAATTTGATAATGCTGAGAGCCAAGCGCCATCTATCGTGTGGTAAACGAAGCAACTACTGCGCGTGCGCAGTAGGGCAGGGCCAAGTTCAAAACGGTTATTTCCTTTGGTTTCCTTCCTCTCAAAACTCTGACTGACTGAACGTTTATTTTTCTACGTGTTCATCTCGCGCGTGCCGACTTCAAGCAGCAAGAAAGAAATGTACTTAAAACAAACCACGACGAACAAGAACGCTGGATCCACAAACACCCGAGAAGAGCGACAACAGCCGCGAATCCCGCTCCGACGAAACTCTCAGAATATAGGCCTAGCAGGCACTCCGACTCGGCGCAGCGTTGCTTCGTCGCAAGACCGTCTGCCTACGACCGGCTGGCGTACTGAATGGAATATGCCCGCGCTACCCTTGTGGACCCTTCCGTATTATAGTTCCTCAATTTTAGGTTAAGGAATCCGTATTAACCTCAATTTTAGGTTAAGAGGTGAGGTCAATCTCTTCCCCTTGTTTTCCGAGGCAGTGTTGACGAACACTCGTCGAAAAGGGACCCTCGTCGATCCTCTCCTTGTTTTGTGTGATATAGAGCTGAAATAAACGCTGTATGGATTACCTTCGTAGCACGGTATGTACACTTTGTTATTGGTATGCCATTTTTATTCTGACAGACTGCACGTCACTGTCGAGCTGTAACAGTTCGTTGGAGGTATACGTGCAATACCGGTCCAACCTTTCTTTGCCGAGTGTCGCGTCAGTATCGAGTTGCAATTGTAAAAGATCGGTCCCGAAGCGCTTACCAACAGCGCGAATACAGCACTTCATCAAACGCGCGCGTCCGCTCCGAGTGTGAACAGGTATTTACGTGGCTCTTGCTGACAGTTCAAACGTATCTTTTTTAACGTCGGCTCGCTCCTGCATCTCCGAGACCGCGAAAAACGCCGCGGCAAATTGTTCCCATCTGCACTTCCCAACAGGCATACCGGCGTATGGGACTAGTCCCATGCTGTCGCTGTAGCGCAACGTATCTCATTGAATTTCGTTCAGCTGCGATGCGGCGATGAGAGGCGCCGATTCAGAAAATACGTCGGTGACATCGGCGCAGTAAAACCCACCGGCGCACCCCAACTCGCTAACGCTCCCATCTCCTACTGCAGAGAGAACTTCCGGTTCCGGAAACATCGTACGTCACGGCTTGTTTTGCGGTCAAGAAAAAGTCGATATTTCATTATTTTTTGTGTAGAAGTTAATAAACCGAGACGAAAACGGATGCCTGTTCGGCATTCAGTGAACATTGACGGTTTATTGTAAAAGTTGTGTGGAAAAAGTAAAAAAGTCATTTCATGGTCCCTTTAACTTTGTACTACTCAAACTTAGTCAAATAGCTGGTATACTGAATCGAAATAGGTATATTCTTCCGGAATCAGTTAAATTATTAATCTACAATACGCTATTTGTATCTCATATTAACTATTGCCATCTTGTATGGGGCACAACAACAGAATCTAACCTCCATAAATTACACTTAATGCAAAATACGCGTTATTGCCAATGTCTCATACACCGAACATACTGACTACCTTTTCAAGAAATATAACATTCCAAAAGTTCATGACATATACCGAAGGAGGCTTATGCGAGATTTTTATTATAGCATTAGGAAAAATACCTCTACACTCTTAGAAATAGGAAACTTAGAAAAAAGGCAACCTTCGCATAAAACACGAACTCCAGAACCATGGATAGCTCCTCGTTCTCGGACAAATTATGGTGACCAAATGCTTAAGAATACTTTGCCTAGACTATTAAATTCATTTGAGGAGGCTGGCACCGGTATATCCTCTATAACCCCTTCTGAACTGAGATATCTTTTATGTTCATTTTCTGATACCGGTGCCCTTCGAACTGCCTGAGATGAAAACGAGCTATTTCCTAGAATTGTTTTGTGTTCCTTACCCGACCTAATCATGTTAAATTGCAACTGTATACTAATGTGTGGAGCTGTATCGAATGAGTGAATCTGATTGACCAGGAAGTGTTTTGTTACTGTGTGTGAGTGTTTTGTGAGTCCAATGCTGCCATCATTTAAAGGGGGCCGAGGGCCCCACAAGCTGCGTTTGTAGCTTTTTTCCTCGGCCTCCTCCATTCTGTAGGAAATGGAAACCAATAAAGAAAGAAAGAACGCACTACGGCCGCGGGCCGTCGCGCTCTTCTCCTTCTCTGTATCAATATACAATCAAAGACGCGGGCGGAGCCGTCAATCGTGCTGGTGTCGGGAACCAGTAAAGGCCCTGTCACACTGAGGCAACACGACGGCAACAACAACACAACACGTTGTCCAACAGTCGGGCAACTTGTTGCTCGCTCCCCGTGTTGTCCGACAAACCTGTCACATCGGGGCAACAGCAGCACAACATGGACGACAACTAAAATGTTGCCTCGGTATGACAGCTTTCGGCAACAAAAACAGCAGCAACTTGTGTTGGGCAACGCATGTTGCCCTGATCGCTGGCTGTGCGAATTTCGGGCCGGCAACACGGCAACATATATATATATATCTCGAGGCATAGAGACTCGAGATATTACTTTAATATTTAAGTATGCGTTTTCGCAACTCCCAACTGTCCCAACCATATCGATATCGCTATTCGAACTTGCTTGCCGCACTGCCGCTCTTTGCTACGAAGTCATTCTTCAAGATGCCGTCGCCGTCAAGCACCACGTCCTCCGAGGAATCGGAGATTATCGCAATGATCGAAGAAAGAAGATTCTTGTGGGACGTGAAGGATAAATGTTATCATCGTCGCGACGTGAAGGAAAGAGCCTACAGTGACATTGCTCAAGCGATGGGAACCAAGTTCACGGGCATGTACAAAAGAAATAATCCCAAGTGCATTCACACTGTCACATCGCGCCCGTATTTTCACGTCTTTAAAGCGTACATTCAACGTAACGGTGCTTGCGACCGAGATGATACGATATTGCATTCTATTATTTAGAGTATCGCACATCGTGTACTTCTGTACTGGACTATGTGCGTGCGTGCACGCCCGCAAGCGGGGAGGCGGTTTTGGTCGCCTCCCCGCCTGCAAGCGCGTTGCCTTCTAGGCAGACTTCTCTATTTGCGAAACTCGCCTCATGAAATACTGATATCCTCTGCTACTCTGTAGTTTTTTTTTTTTTCTTCTAGCAAATTAGTGTTTTTGCTAAAAAGAGCCGACAGCAGTATTCTACAGGTTACTCACATGTTGATAGTTCGGAGCGCATGAAGCTCATTTATAAATGACAGGCTTGATTGTACTCATAGATCTGTTTAATGTATAAAGGCTTTCGTTTTATGCAGGGGAGGCAATCAAGAGCCGCTTCTCAAACCTGCGCTCCCAATTCAACAGAGAACATAAAAAAGTGAAGTGCTCCGAAAAATCCGGGACAGGCACCGAGGATGTGTACGTCCCAAGATGGATTCACTACAGGGAGATGCTCTTCCTGCTGAGTGCATGCCCCCAGCACGGCAGCGAGTCGAATATGGCTCCCCCAGGTGTAAGTAATATACAAGAGCAGCATTTAGTCACATGTTTATTTGTACATAGAGAACCTCTTTGTTCAGGTACTTCCATGGTTGAGAATGATTGCTCGTCGTTTCAATGGTCACAAATGCAGAACTTAAGGCTTTACCGTAAAAATTTTAAAATCCTAGAAACCACATCTTCAAATCAGACAGTGCTCACACACTACGCACCCATTTCATGAAAAATACAATGAGATAAAAGGCATTCTTCACTTATTTGCTTGCAATAGCAGTGCTGGGAAAGAAATATTTCACTAAAAAATTGAGCACTGTATCCAAACTGCCAAAAATATGTGCAAAGCGTCTACATACTACAGCAACTATTGGAGGATGTAATTCCAGGTTTATATTACTTTCCAGACCAAAGCTTTGCACTATGGAATTACAGGTGCTAATGTGCAGCAGAAAAATTTGTAGCACAATTAGAATTTTCTTAATTAACATGTATGGCTGTAGAACGTAATGCATTTCAAGAGTTTCGCTAGGCACTATACGTCATCAACCCCGACCAATAAACACCTTGAATAGCATGCGGCGCTGGGTCATAAGCCCTTTTTAAAAACCAAAAATTGATTGCCAGTACTTTTTTTTTTTTGCTTTCAGTTTTTTTTTCTTATCTAAAAAAAACACTCAACAAAAAATAGTTTTCAATGCATGTGAAGAAACTTATTAGGGTCAAGAAACTGCTCTATGCATTCTGTACATTCATTTTCTACAAGCAAAAACATTGTCTCATTAACGTGATCGTTTTTCCACATTCACAGGCAGAATCAGAATCTCCACCAGAAGATGACGACAGCCCTTGGGGGCACCTGGAGGGCAGTGAGCCGGGCGATCCCTTAAGTCTGGACCTGGAGGATGAGGCCAGCAGCCAAGGGACAAGTCAGGGGACCAGCCAAAGGACCAGTCAGGGTGGCACTACCGGTAGCCCCCGTGGATCCTGCAATGAAGGGACGAGCACCAGACGGGGTGATCATCAAAGCCGGGCCCCAAAAAGAAAGCAGCCCGAGGACTGCATGGCCGAGAAGAAACTGCTGCTGGAAACAGCTGTGCAGACATTAAATAAGAGCTGCGCGGCAGCAGCAGCCAGAGACGAGTGCGACGACTTTGGCGTGTCGATCGCCCACGCACTCCGTCACGTGCCACAAGGCCCTCACAGGCAGATGGCAGGCTTGCTGGCATATGAGGCTGTTGTAAAGTACAACCTCAACCTCAACACTAGCCCAGAAATTGTACAGGTGGCACCTGAATAAATAAAGGTACCGTGGGCTGGAGCCTGTTCTTTGATACGAAAGTTGCTGCCATATTATGCTTGTATGTTGCCTCAAATTGGCTATTGAAAAAGGTCTCTGCTTCCTTGCATATTGCTGTTTGCTTGTCCCACACATCTTGTAGCTTTGGTCATTACTAAATTGCCTACTAGATTTACAAATTCAGTTGGGCTGAGAAATGGAAACCTCTTAATACAGGCATTTCCCATCAGGCAGCACAAATCAACAATGTACAAATACAGACTGCTAGGCCTATGGCCAGAGGATGCAAGCTGGGGCTACAGTTGCATGGTGCTTGCAAATTATGTATTGCATGCACTGCTGCAGCTCAGATCTTAAACTTTTTGCATATCTTGCAGAAAGCAGATGCCATCTATTAGCCACTGCATCAATTAGTCAACAGTCGTATCTTAGCCTTATTTTAAACTTGTAGTCAACATGAGGGCTCTCTTTATTACAAGTATTTTGCTGTGAGGTGTGGTGACCTTGAGCTGATGGGACACTGCATGCTAAGTCGCACGTGAGCGCAGGTGCACAGGCAGTACAATTTTGGGGATTCTATGAAATGCAGCTCGACGATCAAGCCAGTTATTGACTAAATAATGTAAATAAATGTAGATAAGTTTCGCCTCTACATACTGATGGTCCGAACCAAGCCACACCAGACTTCACCCACTACGCTGCCGTGGATTCGCGGTCCCTCAGCGAGTGAAGCATCACGCCCACATTACGAGATTCTGAGATGACAGCGGGTCTCCCGGGAACCCGACGGTATTGGGGGCCATGACTATGAGCAAGAAGTTTCCCCGAGTTCTGGTCGTCAGCAACAACTGCGGCTCGCACTCGGATCGAAATGTGGGTCAGACGCTTTGAAGTCCCACAAATGATTACTACCGAAAAAGGATATCAATTTTAATCGACACTGTTAAAAACTAGTCACTGGGTCTGGGAAAGTAGCGCCCATTGCTTTACCACCTGCTAGCCGGACATAAACAACTACCAACATACAGACGACAAAACCTCTCAAGGTGTTTGGCTCATCGCTGTCGGTTGCCATGGTGATCGCCATTTTGAACCATTTCAAAGCTTCGAAGGGGTCGTTAAGACCAGTCGCACCAAGATCGCTACGAACCATCATCATTCTGAAAGCGTTCCTTGGCCATTATAAGCTTCTTTGGCACTGTGCATGCAATAAACTTATCGCTCATGCTTATTTCCCAAAATCTCGTACAATCATGTTTCTCTTACATGTTTCAAGACAGTAAAATTATTTTTAAATGCCCCTAAGCACTGACGGGGCGTGTGATGCCGTACATCTCCGTACCACAATCACACGGAACAGCAAATAGTAGTTCGATGGGTCTACCCTTAATGACAAGACGGATGCAGGTAAGCTGCTGATTTGCACCCACGTTCACAAACTCAGTACCGAGAAAATTTCCCATGGAATACCACAAAGAAATGACAGTGTGCAATGGCATTGCCTGTGCATACTAGTATCCAACCTATGAATACCCGTGCGCAGGGGCATTCACCTCCTCTACACAATTTTTCACCACAAACCCCCCCACCACCCCCCTCCCGAATACCTAGATCGGGTATAACAGGTGTCATCCAAGTGTGTTATTTATGGGCTCCTACAAATATTGTGTGCAACCCTCATAGAGTAATAAAAGCATGCAAACTGTTCTTAATTAGTACCTTCTTAGGCAACCATCCACCACTGCCAGCTGACTTGTCCCTCGTTGACAAAGTACCGTGTGTAGAGCTCCCGCACTGCTTTGGCGTCGTCGCTGCTGTTACTGCCTCCTCTTCGAAACTGCCTCATGGCTCCAGCAGGAGTCACGCCCTCTCTCCATGAGCCGTTTCTTACAGTTCCTGCAGGCCATGGAAATAGCATTGTTGAACCACACACATTTATGATGAGTTTCACTACTGTAAGCATCCTTATCAAACTCAGTTACTAGCAATCTTTCTGAACCCTTTCCATTCACCACATCTTTGAAAGCTTTGAGACAAACAGGTACATGAGAGAAAGGTTACTGCAGATTGCTCATGCCGCAGACACATCCTGCCAAAATAAACATAGGTTGTTGGAGACCAGATAGCAATCCTCTCCTGTGTGCTATTATCTCGGCAGGACAACAACAGGACTGTGCTCCAAATCTCACCTAGCTCGGCTGTCTGCTATGTCAGCGGGTAACGCTAACCGACAATAAAAGTAAAATACAACTTGATTATGAAATCTTTAGATCAATTACTGGATTCGATTCCTTCTCAATTAGCTTCGCATTCAGCAGAAAGCTAACATAGCAGCCGAGCCCAGTTCTCACACTTTTCTGTCCTTTCTAAATTTCTTCTGCCTCACCTTGACTCTGTTATAATCCATTACGCCTCTATGGTTGCCGATCGACACTCAGAAATAAAAAAAGGCATCTTATGACTGCTGTAAAATACCGGGCAAGCACCCACTTTCGTACAAGCGCCCACTAGTAACATTTCCAAAACTTGTGGGAGCCGAGGGTGAAAGTCGAGGCAGAGAGCACGTGACAGGAGGTCGCCGGAGAAGTCACAAGCTGGCGCGAAGCGGTCCACCAGCGAGGTCTGGAGCAAGACCGGTGGAAACGGCGAGCCCTGGCCGTATGACCTGGGCTACGACGATCCCGGGGTGGTTCCGCAGCGAGACTCGGGCATTGATAGCCCGGGACAGCCAGCCTACGCAGCGCTGGCGTTGGAAAAGCGATCCGCAGGCCTGGACACGGACCCCGACTGCGAGCTCTGATCGACAGGCGACAACAAGGGACGGCGGGCCCGGACTACCGGCTCTCGACGACGGGCAACCGGGAGGTACAGTAAACCCAATCGCTGTCTTCTCGTCACTCCCTGGGTGACGGGCGGAGCGCATACCGATCGGGCGGGATTATTAGTTAAGGGATCTCCATAAAGAAACCCACAAACTTCAGACTTTTGCAAATCATATGTTAAGCACCCACCCCTCCAAAGCGCCGGCATCAGCAGAAATATTCACCCCCTCCGCAGCAGCTATGAGATTGCACTTAGGATATAACATTAGCTCAAAACTGTGGGGATTCCTGTGATCTCCCTTCCCCGATGGCTGCGATAACGGCCGCGGGTCGGAACACTCGGCCTCCTCCGCCGTGAGCTCCGACCTGTCCGTGAAGCGTAGGAGAGCCGCCTGGCTTGGGGGGCTCTCCTCCTCACTCTCTCCCGGGGACCTTTTCCGTCCCCCCGCTCGGATGCGGATCACTGCTGACAGGCGAGGAGTTTCGCCTCTTGTTTTCCCGCTTTCGGGAAAGAGACTCGTCCGGGTGGCCGCGAAAGAGATAGGACGTGTGTCGGCGACTTCTCCGGCGCTTCCCCGGTCTTGGCTCTCCAGAACCCCGCGTCTGGCCAGGTAAGGACCTTTTCTTACCTTGCCGGCGCGGGGGGCATTTTGGATGGGGACATAGTAGTTCATTTTAAGAGTGTTCTAATAAATGCTCTTGGACTCTGTCTTTACTCTTGTACGTGTGTCTTCTCTTCCGCTATATTCGAGAGAGTGAGACAAGGTAGACGATCATTGGCATCGACGGAGGTAATTAATCGAACCGACCCACGGTAATGTGGCCCTTGTTCGAGGCGGGGTTTAGGCCGCACGTCCGGAGGCTTCCTGTCTCGTGACGACGTCCAATCCCCGAAGTGAAGAACCCAGGGGTTCAGTGGAGGTGGGAGACTTGGTAACGTAACGAACGATTTAATTACATGGTAGCGATACAGTCGTCAAATCCGAGAGAACAACGGAGCAGCCTCGCGCTCCGCCTTATATAGGGTCCGTTTCTCCCTCACTCCCCGCCGCCAGGGCAGCCAGTGCGATGCAGCAACCCGCCGTCAAGTGCGATGCAGCAAAGTCCGCCGTCCAGTGCGACGTAGCCAAAGTTCTCCGCAGTTAGGCCATGCCTCTCTCCCTTTCCCGAGCGCACCAACCACCACGCACACACACACGTCCCGCTAACGTCACGGGCGCGTTGAGACTTGTTGCCGCAGGCCCCGTCACGCAGGCGACGGTCCCGGACTCGTCGGGACTCGTTTCGCACAGGCCCCGACAAGCGGGCGACGGTCCCGGACTCGTCTTGACTCGTTTCCGCAGCGTTGAAACTCGGAAGAAGGTCGCCGAAGGTTCTATTCTTAACAGCCCCTCCGGGGCCAGGGAAACCTCGAATGGCCGGTGATACTATCGCTGGCCTGAAGAGGTGGGCTTGGAGTAGGCCTTGAGAAGATGCTGCAAGCACTAAGCAAACTCCCAAACCTCTCACAACGGAGGCAACAGCGGAAACGTCCCCCACAACACCACGCCACACCGCAGTCAAACGCTCGGAATCCGCCAGAGACCCGCCAGACTGGATTACGGATTACCAAAATTTGACAAAACAATGCAATTTAAAACCTTGGGACAACTTCGGGTATCGAGACCCGCTGTCGCCAAAGCAAAACTCATTTTTCCAACGCGGTCACTATGAACAAAATACAAAAAGACAAAAACTCTTCACAATTTGTGAGGTCATTTTGGGGTTTTAACGGAGTGCCCCCACTTAGATCCTCATTCCCGTGGATGACGAAAACCTCTGAGATCATCCCTACTCTTTTTGGTGATATCAGAAAAATCTGCTCAACCCATCGGCATTGCTGTTAAATTTGCCTTTCCTCTTTCTTACGCTGAACTCATAGTGATCGATTTTCACGTGATTTCTAGACGTGAAAATGCGGTCCTTATAGCGCCGATAAAACAATCCGCCTTTTTCATGCCCCGTCACATTGGTCCTGGCAATCTCCTGAGCTGTACCGCGAAACCCTGACACACTAGGGTCGCTCTTCGGCTCGACTGTCAAAGACGCTCTGTCTACTCGTAACAGAGGACCGAAGTTACGTGACGCCGGAGCTACGAGAGATCCTTTAATGATCCCGTCTTTTTCCGCCTTTTTCGC